GACAACTCCCGTGAGGAACAAACCCGATCCCGATGCTTTTACGCCTTGTATTAGATTCCCGCCGCGTCTTGGACCACCAACAGGCAAGTAGCCGCTCGGTTCCCATGTTTATCTCTCGGATGCAAAATAGCAATCTGTTGCACCGTTATGAACGCTCATCTAGAATAATGTGATCGGAGCAACGCGAAAAGGTGATATTACTTCCAGTGCTCCGAGATTATTTATTCTCATTCTCATTCTCGAGTTATTATATGATCATTTTGGAAGAAGAGAAATGAAAAAGGGAGTAATATTATTTTTATAGGTTATTTTTAAATTAATATCTCTTTAAATTTAATACTTTCTCATTCACACAAAGCTTTTTAATATTCAATTATTTTTTTTTCTCGCGGAACTTTTTAATATAGAGTTGCCACATAAAACTGGGAATCAGGGTAAAGTTTGCAAAATTTTCTAGAAAATAAAAATTCTTGGCTTCAAAGAAATTTACATCACATCTACGCAGTTTTGGAATGAAACTATCAACTTAACAATTAAAAGTGCAAGTAGAGTTAGTAACATTAATTAACAGTAATTTACGTTGCTATGTTAAATTGCTTCCTTAACAAAATATTTAACGATTTCATGACGAAAATCTAAAAGAATTCGAAATATTATTGAAAGTCAGATATTATTGAAAATTATAAAAATTGAAAGTCAAATATTATTGAAAATTATAAAATTTTGTCTGGAAAATCAGGAAGAAGTTTGGCATTTTAGGATGAGAAATTTGTGATAACTCTGTAATATTTCTTCTTCAACAGTAATTCTAAACTATATACTTTCTTGCAATAACAAGATGTTATTTTCGCATGAAATAGTCGGGCAAGTGTCATGTCGTGCCGTCTATGCTTCATTATTCGCGCGGTAATAGCGCTTCCATGTACATAAACACAGGGTCGCGAAGAGAGAATGTGCGTGTACGAGCACCGTTACACGGCGTAGACAATCTTATCTAAATATTTGCATGTCATTGCGGGGATTTCAGTCCTCCCTCGTCTCATCCGTGCGACGCGGTAATCTCTTATTTCGATTTTATCTGCGTTACGTAATCGCATTCTCAGCTGCGCGCCGCTTTCTGCGAGCATACGCGTTAGTTCGACGCGAGAGAAGGCTAATTTAATTTACCCCCCGTCCGCAATGGGATCCCGTTGTGTCTGATTAACTCGCATTGTAACCGTTTTAATCCGTTTGAATGTCGAGCCGAAATGAAGCGAACACGAAACTCCCGCGGAAAATATCTTTTGTCGAAAGAATTAGAAATCTCAATTTTTCGATCGAGAAGAGGAAGAGAAAAAAAGCTATTAAAATTTATATTTATCTGTAATAATAGTGTTCATATTTTTAAATTAAGTAGAGACTTTCCGTAGCAACGTTCTGCGCAGAATTTTTTCTTTATTGTTCATACATTTTTATATACATTTTTCTGAAAAAATATGCAATGAGTGTATTAAAATATTTCTCTTGTACTGATATTCGTTTACACAAATTATTAATTGATCGGTACTTATTATATATGAAAAAAAAATATTATATATGTTAAAATAATGATAAAATTAAGATGAAAAATATCTTACTAAAATGGTTCTCTTCTATCGCTTACAAGTTA